TCAAAGAAACTCTAAAGATCATCTTGAAAGAGTTAGGCGTATATGCTGGAAATGCAGTGTTCAGAAAAGAACAACGCAAAAGGCTTCATAAGATGATATTCAGTTAAAGTAATGCTTGGAAGGCAGCATTCAGCTTCACTGCAAAGCAATGAGGTGTTCATAGTTTTTTGGTCATTTGTTTTTAAATATAATTTTGTTTGCAAAATATTAGATTTTGCAGTGTTTGTGAGAATTCACAAGACTCCCATGTGTCTGATTAACTGTGATTAAGATATTATAAAATATTATTTTAAATACTTTCCTAATCCAATTTGTGTGCCTTCATGAAATGCACAAGAAATTCCATCATGGTATCGACTGTGCAGTGAAAGTGCATGTGTCTCTTCAGTGTATGCAAATCAAAGGATAAGCTGGATAGGCTCATTCTGAAGACCAGTTTTTTGTTACTTCTGAAATGCACCTTATACACTTATACTTTTTTTCTTTGGTTTAAAAAAACATATATAATACCTTCAGTGTTGCTGTGGCTGTTGTAGAAAGATCTACAAGGTTGCCTTTCTCTAATGGATTTATTTGTATCTTGAGTTTTTTTTAAAGGACAGTAGTTGTTTGTAGTCAGCTTTATTTCTCTGCTTCAGCCTGAATGTTTTCTTTTACAGAAGCTTCAGAGAAATCAGTCAGGAGTGTGACCACATGTTGACAGAATGTGATTTGATGTGACAGAGGATCTTCATTTAAAAATTTTCTTTGAAAAACTTTTTTTGAAAAAGTATTTTGTGGTGTATAATCCCTAATAATTTTATCTTTCTTCAAAGTGCTTAAATTGTTGTTCTCAGGATAAGTTATTACAAAATGTACATTTTTCAAGGATATGAATCTAAATCTGGGGAATATTCATTCGTTAATTTTGTGATTTTTTTGGTTTTTGTCATTTACTTAACACTGAAAATGTTTCAGGGGAAACCTATATATGTCGATTACGCGAAAAACTTTATCTTTAATGGTTTTAACATAAAACAACTTCTAAAGTACTTCTAAAGTAAATTAATTGATGATCGATTTAATTTCTACTAATTGTTTAACACCTAATCAGTTTTAATGAAGAAAATCAAAAACACAATTAAAAGTACAGAACTACAGTGTGTGCTTGCAGCATGTGGTTGACATTGATAGTACGGTTCAGCATGTAATGGTAAAATAAATGTTTCCACAACTCTAACAGCCATAGGTATCAACACACTGGTAAACTCCTAGTCTCTAGTTTTGTTAGCTTTTTAATTTCATGTCTCCCATGTCCTCTTCTGGAAGGTTTCATAAAGAAATGCCAATTTGCTTAAATATTAAATGTACATTAGCCTAATAACAGAAACCATTTCCAAAGCCTGCCCATCACCACCTCAGTGGAATTGATTGGATGCACATGTGGTACTTGAGAATCTGTTGTGTTTCTGCAATTGGACATCATATCCACGGGGACAAATACTAGTGAAAATATTTCTGCTAAGATCTTCACAACAAAAACATCCTGGCATTGTGATATCCTGATTAATTTGCAAACAGCACATGTTCTAATAAACAAGCAGAAAGCACTAAATTCTTATTTAGTTATTTCCTAAGATGGTTGTATACTGTATACTGTATGCAGTAGCTGGATTTCTTGGTAAAGTCTTTTTTCTGTTCAGTCGATGTTTGGTAATCTAAGAATGTCTGCAGGTTTCTGAGTGTTTAAATCTGAATTACAAAGGGCAGATGACTCAGTTCTTTCTTATTTAGAAAGTGGGGTGCATGTACACTGGAGTGTTGGACCTCATCTGACCTCCCACACTTGACTCCCTAACACAGAAGCACAGTCTCTGGCTTTGGGAAAGTAGCTCTCTTGAAGAAATAACAAAGGGAAGCTGCTCAGAGTCATGGACAGAGGGTTAATCACTTTTTGAATCCCTAAATAAACAAAGTAGCAGAGACGAGTTGCAATCATATACACAAGAAAAACAAGGTAGCTTTCTAAAATGACTTAAACTGCATGACATCATTATCAGGATCAGCTCTGGCATGCTGACATATGTTTCAGTTAAAAAAAGCTCTGTAAGGCCGTATTTTCCCAGCTGTAGGGTATCATGACCCTTCGCTGACTAACTTTGCTTTACAAGACTGGATTTAAAAATCATAGCCCTGTTTTTAAAAAAATATATTAAATTGTCCTAACCTTAGGAAACGTGTTCTGAGACATACTGTATATGGCACGGATTGTGTTGCACATTTAAATACACTTGACTTTCTCTTTGCAGCCAAGAGTTCACACTTAATTCATTGTGTTAAACTGACAGCATTTTTTTTTCACAAACATTCATTGTTAGGACAATGCACCCTGGCAGAATTTATGAGAAATGGAATTATGTTACCAAGGAGATAGCATTTACTATAATGAAGAGTAGATCCTAGAAAATGGCCTCTTTTACTGCAGCTCAGAGCAGAGCCACAAAAGCAATTGATTGGTCTTGGCATTTAGTCTTATATCAGCGGTGTCATCCATTGCTTCAGGAGAGCGAACACTAATCTAAAGTGACATTTCTGTTCTGGCGGGCTTTTCTGGCCTGATGAAAGCAATTACTGCATTCCTAAATGATAATTTGCCGAAGTTTCAACCACTTTAATTGATATTTTTTTGTTCTCAGAAGTTCAATTGTGGAATGATTAGCTGATTTGGTAAATAGAAATTAAGGGTGTGAAATAAGTTAAGCTGCTCCAAGGTAAACGTCCATTATTGGTGCTAGCTAATAATTTGCAGACAGGGACATTTGTTTTTCATTTAGCCACCCGATACCTTTTGGCATCACCTTAGTAACCTTTTAATAAATTGAGGCATGCTCATGTTGAAATAGTGTTTCACAAATTAGCCACCCGCGCTGCAGTTTGTATTGTCAGTGTACGGTACCCAATAACACTGTCAAATTAAAACCAGTTATTTAAAAAAATGACAGTCATCTCTTGAGTTCTCCAACATTTATGTTTTTCAATAGAGAAGACTACAAGTTAAGGGTGGTATGCTTTTTGGTTTCCATTTTGGTCGGTTTTATTCATTTATTATTGATTTTCCATAATATGTACAGTACTGTATATATATATAACAAAATAAATACAAACTAAAATATGAATGGTTCCTTTGAATGTATGTTTAATTTAAATATACAGTATGCTATTTACTGTACTGTATATGCGCTTATACTTTTTGGTTGAAAAAGCTTACAGTATTTAGTAAAAGGGACTTTGCTGCTGTGTTAGGTTTGAGAGTGAAAGAACTTTGTATCCATTGTACTCAGAATAGCAGAGGGGAAGAGGCACATTTCTAAGTTGCATTGCTAGAGCAGCATTGAGAGCAAAATGACTGTAGGCTGGCCTGGGAGCAGAGAAACGTCTCGATACATGATACTTTCATCCCTTATCTTGATAGGTGCTTAAAAAGTAATTTAAGAGCCCGACCAAATTCGGTATGATTTCATGTAAAGAAAACGTATTTGCTTCCTGTAGAAAGTGATAAATATGACTTGAGTATGAAGGTCACAGAACCCTAGCACATCAAGAAATATTTGGCAGCTAAACATAATGCTTTCCAAGTTTGTGGAACAAATGAAATTTTGCTGCTGTGTTGCTGTTTGCCTCCAAACAACCATTACAACTAGCTTTATATATTGTCTGAGCAGCAGACCATCAAATAGTGCATTTTTACTGATGTGCAGCTGCTGAGATGATCTACAGTAGCAATCTGCCACTTAGATGTAAGGGCAAAATGTGCATCTATATTTGGTAGTGAAATTATCCTATTATACTCTTGATGCTTACAAAAGCTAACATAAATTGATTATGACAACTATGAGTATTGCATTAGCAAAGCAGTAAAGTTCTTTGGTGGTGTGTGAAAGTCCCAGCAGTAGGCTTGTAGTTTTATTTGCAAATTGCCAACATTGCAAATTCATACGGTAAATCGTTCAGGTGAACTTATGGCTGTCAGGGTACAGTGTGCAAAGAGAGAGACAGTGGCTGCATGCACAACAGAAAAAAATAATAAAGCTAGACTGCCTGGAAAAAGCAAGTTTGTTTAAAAAGCTCGACTGCCACATACAATTTGCGCATTCCTTTGTAGCTTTTTTGTACACCATTTAAGCGTGTCAATTTTGGGTTTACAAAATTCTGAAAATGAACTGTATATGCTTGTCCCTGGGACTGGTCATATTTCATCTACTTTAGAATTCTTGCTGCCCCCATCTTTCAGATCCCTTCTAACTGATTTTGCATTTGCGATGCTAAAAAATTAATGTAAGTGTTAGCCATTAGGGAACTCAAAGCCTCCAGTGTGATTTATTGCTAACTTAATACAATATGGCTAGAGATGATGGAAATGATATAGGGCCCAGTTGCATTTTGCTTGGAACGTGCTACAGCTGTTGTTTGATGCTGAATAACATGCAGCAGGGAATCGGGGCTACGCTCCAGACTTTCATCTTTATAAACAATCAATTTTGTTTCCTTGCATGCGATTAGTCAGAACGTTTCCGGCCCTGGGATGTGTGTACTTATACCGCACGCATGACTTGTCGAATATTCTGCATTGACATAACAATCTGCTGATTCAAAGTGTAGCGCTAGAATAGAGGTAGTGAATGCTTGTCTGGCCCTGTCACTGTCCATGTGGAATGCCTTTCTCACCAATAATAGTGTGTTTGTGTGTTAAGCTGATGTTAGGAACTTTGCATCAACTTAACATAGAGTATGCCATGCTAACAAACGTCCTTGTTTTGTTGGAGTCGCATGTTGCACGGAAGTGTGTGTTCTATTGTAACCTGAGAGTGCGCGCCGTGGTAGGTTCGCAGGGATGTCGGGGCAGGACCCTTTGCAGAAGACTAGATCTCTTGGGGGGTGTTGGCCCCAGTCGGGGCAGCGGTGGAGCGCCAGGCTCGGGTTCGAGGGCCCTGCGGTGACGCCCCGCTGTGCTGTGTTTTCAGGCTGCAGGCGCTGCGGAAGGAGAAGTCCCGGGACGCGGCCCGCTCCCGCCGGGGGAAGGAGAACTTCGAGTTCTACGAGCTCGCGAAGCTCCTGCCGCTGCCCGGCGCCATCACCAGCCAGCTGGACAAGGCCTCCATCATCCGCCTCACCATCAGCTACCTGAAAATGAGGGACTTTGCCAATCAGGGAGACCCGCCCTGGAACCTGAGGATAGAGGGGCCCCCTCCCAACACGTCTGTGAAAGGTATGGGCCCCGCTGGCAGGCTGTCCCACGCGCAGTGACACAGGAGTCGAGGAGGCCTTGGCTTAAACGTTCAGCTGATTCCGCAGTCATTCAAAGCTTTTACCGTTAATAGGCCCGTCTCTGTATTTTCAGACAGCTTACACTGGCTATTGCCACAAACTACGCTCGCAATACAATCTGAAGGAAACGGCCAAATCGCTGTACCTGGCGCTGCTGAGTGTACAGTAATTAAGGAACGCATCGGGCAAACGGGTTTCGTGCTATAGAGGAAGACAGAAACGTGCAGTTGTGCATAGCACCCCAAGGTCAATGTTGGTTGCCTCTTTTTCACTCTTTGGTCCATCTGGGGTATTCGTGGGTTTTTCTTTCTGAGTGCGGATATTGGCTCTGTCAAGAACATATTTCTCAGAAATAAGGCATCCATATGTCTGTTGTTCTGGTTCACGTTTCGACATTAGTCTTAGTGAGCTGCACAGTACAAGAGATCTGTATTTTGTAAAACACATAATATTAATAAGCCACACAGTAAAATAGATTTGTGTAGAGAATTATTTTGGGTATTCAGTCAACACATTTTTAACAAATTCCTTACATTTAACTAGATCTGTTTACCACGGTTTTTCACTCGGGAAGTAAACTAGAACATGACAAGAGTTCTCTTGCCGAACTAGATCAGAATGGACTAGATTCACAGATTCCATTGTCAAAATAGTAGCTTGTTATATATAAACTAATAATGCCAAATACATCATTTATGTGATGCTGTACTAGAGGTTAGAGTGGGTGAAGAATTTAATAGAAATCTATGAATATCTTTACAACCACTTCAGTCTGCAGTTTGTTCTGCTCTGCGCACAACAGATGGCATCGTTGCATTGTCTCGTTTTGAAGGACGGCATGATTTTGATCGGAGAAAAGTGGACAGGATACTTTTTCTCTCTGTAGGTTCTCTTTTTATATATGCAAATCTGTCAAGCCACGGTAAACATGTACTATCTGAAATAAAACAAAATCCCAAAGATGCTCTGTAAATAAAGCCCGTCCTTCGGCTGCACATTGTAGAGCACTATTTGTTTCAGTTTGTGCTGTGTATAGAGAACGCTTTGTGTTGTACTGTAGGTGGTTTCCTTGTACAACAAGGATAATTGTACAGTACAGCCACAGGACAAGGGTAGCACTGCTGTGATCTGACATCCTATTGATGGCATCACTTTACATTTAATTACAACCTCAAAGATTTTACTAGTACTTTGTTTTGGTGGGAGTTATTGATTTCGGTGTTGTTCTGCGGCGCTATAACTAATGTGATCTCTGACTTGTCTGCCTACTTTACATGCCGGTAATTCAAAACGGCTGTGGGCATACTTCTGGAAGTGTGGAGACATGGACCTCAAGTTGCTGTCGCCCTTGGGCTGCTAGTGCTACTACTAGTGCTTTTCACCTTATTTTTTGAGGAACGAAGAAATCACCTTTGGTTAGCTTCTAATTTTTAAGAGCTGTCTCTCAACTGGGCTGCCTTAAAGCTAGACACTGCATGCCAATGTGACAAACGTGCACTGAAACTGAATTTCATTGTTGCAATTGTTGGTGTCCAAACTTTAAGAAAGTTGAAACAGGGGCGGTAATATTGTTTCAGGAACTGTGGAGCACTGCTCATTCAGCAGTCCTGTCTTTCAGTCAATTTACTGGGGCCTTTCTGTGATCACCCGTGTCAGTGTTGCTATGAATATGTTATTATATGAGATTTGCTGAAGAAATGATTGTGCAGACTTCTGGCAAGGCATTTCTACTTAATAACTGATGATTGTAACCTTTAGGGAAATCTCGATGTGGGGATGGATGAAAATTCCAAGGCTTTTGCTTCAGCCGTGATCTTTATTTAAAGATTCAGTACAAAATTCCCATTCTTGTTTCATTTTAGAAAACAGAACTTAGAGAGCTGGCATTTATACTAAAATTATGACTCCGCAAGTTCCCAGATATATTAAATTCTCCTCCACACACGAATACAAAACACTTAAGTGCGAGCTTAAAGGAGCATGCTTTTGAGAAATGACAAATAATTTAAGCATTAGCTTGTCTGATAATAACTCTGATATTAATAGCATTAGAAGTAAAAGTATTTGACCTCTGCATCTCCGATGTTGATTTATTATCATAACTTCATCTCACAAACAGGTTTTGTCTGTGTCTTTTGACCTTTAATGTAATTGACCCATCAAATGATTTTCAGAGCTTTTCAGGGAAATTTGCTCATCTCTGTCACAGCCGTTTCACATCTGTTGAAGGACACTGCACAAACAAGCATGACCTTTCACTTGTTTTCTGTTGGCACATAGATCCTGACCCACTGTACCACCTGCGCTTTTATTATTCATGCTTGCAGAAAAGAACTGCAGCGCTAAAAATGCCACATTGTGTTAAAAACAAAACGGTGTGGTCCAGGAATAGTGGCAAACCTTAAAAAGGTTGGTTTTAATTCACTGGACAAGAATACCACCAGGCAGACTGCATTTCTGTGGTGCTCTCTGTTAGCCTCTGGTGGCGTCTGCTTGTTTTTTTTTGCTAATCGCTATGTAACGCTAATTTCTTTTGCAATTTTTAAAAAACTGAACCAAGATTCCTGCTACCATATTAAGGACACTTTTAAGAAAAACCTCACATTTCCCCTCGTCTGAAGACTTGAAATTATTTCAGGTGGCCCCCTCACATGTTGCAAGCCGATTGTAAATATTCAGGTACAGTATACAATTTTTTCATGGTTAGGAATCAAGGTGCGCTTGTGATTACTGTTATGTACAGTGAAAGCAAAGTGTTTTGTTTTTTTTAAAGCTTGCCTTCCCTCATGCCTCCCTGTAAATGTCTGCGGTATGGAGATGAGGATTGTTTCTCTATACGTGCTGGATGGATTCAGGCTGCAGTCACTGGAGAGCCTGGGCAGTAGCACTGAGTAAAGTGAATGGCTGCCAGCAGAGACTTCTGAGTGGAATAGAAATTTCTGGGCTCTGGTAGTGCTGTTTCGTGTCTCTAGGCTGTGCGTTGTATAGGACATGTCTGCTGTCCTATACAACGTTGTATAGGACATGCCTGCTGTATTTCTTCTCAACCTGCCTGGAAATTATTTGAATAGTACTGACATTGCAACTGAAATCTGAGACTGGAAAAAAAAAACAGAGCCAAATCCATACTTTTTAAGGTTTATTCTCTTGTAATTTAGTTGAGGCTGAGCGATTGTGTCAGCATTTTTTTGCCCGAAAAATGCATAGTACCAGCTCCTTCTTAAGAACTCTACCCCCACACCAAAAATAAAATGGTTTGAAATTTGTGCAGGTGATGTGTCGTGGTGTTTGTGTCATCTACCATCTCATATTTGCTGAAGGCTACAAATCATAATTCAGGGGAATGGATACTAAGCAGGTAGCGAATACTGTATGTGGTAATTGTGAGCCTGCATATGAAGAGGAGCTAGCACTGTGTCTGCTTGGTTTAGAAATGATTAAGACCGGCAGACTTGATTCTCAAACGGTATAAATCTACCTTAGCATCCTGTTGCAAAATGGAATGATCTCCATGTCTCTAAGGTCATTCTGCCTTCCACGACCATAAGAACGAATTGCTGGTAGTTTGTTTGATACCATCCTTATCTCCTGCAGATCTGAAACTTAATGGTATTTGTTTTTCTTATTTGATATCTAAAAATCAGATGGCTCCAATTGATAATGGTTTGCTTGTTAACAGTCTGTAATACCTGTAATTGATTTTAGTCTGTGCCTCACTCCCCCACAAAATTCTTTTAAAAGCCTCTCCTGTTGTCTAACAGTTCACTGTATTGGTCCATGTGTTCAACCTGTAGAAAGAGCGTTCTATGGGCAAGTTTGCTCACCAGACAGAGCTGATTAAAGAATGCTTTCTGTGAGCGCACAGTGCCACAGTCATTGCTAATGTTAATGAGGGTACTAACAATGGACCCACACACACAGTTGGGTGGTGAAAATGATGTAAAGGTCTAAACCTCACTGTGGACACTTATCTCATCATGTTACAAACATATCTGCCCCCAAAACATCTTCACATTTGTGCAGTTTATAAATGGATAGTAATTTACCCAGCTGTGAACGTGGGATGTTTCATTCCCTAGCCATGTTGTAAGAAAAATTGAATGACAGTGAGCAAAACAGCAGTAATTATAAAACTAATTACTAAATGTTGATGATGCCCATAGGCTTTGCATGACTAAAATTAGAAAAGGAAATTGCTTTTGGCTTCCTAGAAGCTATGGTCTTGCTTATGTGTTATATTTATTTTTATTTTTATGTATAGCAATGGAGGCAATTGCCATGGTAACAATTACTTTTTGTATACCTTTTTGTACTAGCCAGACACCTCCAGGATGCTTTGTGGATTGAACAATGTATAGTATATTAATAACTGAGGACTGTGTCATCACTTTGTTCAAGAACAGTGTATTGAATGAAATTCTGGGGTAAAATACAAATGTCATATCAGAATCTGTGCTTGTTTTCTACTGGGGAGAAAAGCTGAATGCTAATCAGAGGTCTCAACCTTGGCTCTGTCTTTCCTACAATTGTTCATTGGACATCAAATCTCAACTGTTTTGTCAAAGTTGTAATTAAAAATCAATTTACATATTTTATGTTAATGCCTTTCCTTTTTTATTTAAATCAGTTTGCAACCATATTTAGGATATTTAGCAGCTCTGCTGATGCACACTTACAACTTCACCTTGTGTTTTGTGATGCAGATCTGGAAGTGTTCAGATTTAATGAAACAAAATTAAGTATTTTACTCATCTGAATAGAAGACAAACGAGCCCACCTTCGTTCATGATTAATTTACAGTTTCAGAAGCAGACAACATGCACATTGTGTATTTAAGTGAAGATGGAAATGCAGGCTAAATATTTGAATTTTCTCTAGTGGTTTACTTAGCACAAGTAAGCACAGTTACCTATTGCGTTGGTGGTTTTGGTAATTAGTCCT